CCCCCCCGAGATCCTTGAGAGTTAATAAGCTTTCAGTCACTGATGTAATTAAAAAGAAGTCAGATTTAGAAAAAGAGCAATAAAGCTCATTATTCTTACCTGGTAACAGTGAGCTTGTTGCCTTTCACTTCCATGGTGGCTTGTGGTTTCTCTGGATCTTGCCCAGGCCTTTGGTGGTGGATATACACTTCTGGTTCAGATGCAAACTGACCTGATCGAAGAGAGTTTGAAAGCTCTTGGTGTGTCCCGACCTTTGAGGCTTTCATGTAAGCTGCTGCCAGGCACTTTTTGGAAAATCAAACTAGCTGCAGCAGGTAAAACCCTCCTGCATCAATCACAGGGCACCGTGTCTCCAACGCTACCGGATCACCCACATTGGGAGAGTAGAAAATTCTGCTTTTCAGCCAGCAGACTTGTGAGAAAGTAGACTGGAGCTATGAAGAGTATTTGGGAAAACAGTCTCTGCTGCTCAGGATTCTCACATCTTAAAAGGAGCCTTGGGTGGGTTCAGGGCTCAGAGAGCTGATCTTCCCTGTGAACTGAGCCCTTGCTTTTGTTTTATACCATTGCCAGAAAAGGGGCTGTCGTTCAGGGGAGACCTGAATTACAAATGTTTGCGCAGAAGCCTTCTCAGACAGGTTTAAGAGATTTATTTCAGTCTTTTTATTTCCAAAATAAGTTCTATCACACTGTCTCCAGGTCTAGTCAGGCCTGTTTTGAAAATAACCTCCCCAGCTAGGATGAGGAATAATCATAGAATCATTTTAGGTTGGAAAAGACCATAGAGTCCAACTGTTAACCTGGTAATGCGAGATCCACCACTGAACCGTGTTCCTGAGCACCACATCTACATGGCTTTTAGATACCTCCAGGGATGGTGACTCCACCGCTTCCCTGGGCAGCCTGTTCCAGTGCTTCACAACCATTTCCATGAAGAAATTTTTCCTAATATCCAACCTGAACCTCCCCTGGCACAACTTGAGCCCATTTATTCTTGTCCTGTCACTTGTTACTTGGATTAAGAGACTGACCCCCACCTCACTATAACCTCCTCTCAGGTAGTTGTAGAGAGCAAGAAGGTCTCCCCTCAGACTCCTTCTCTCCAGGCTGAACAACCCCAGTTCTCTCAGCTGCTCCTCCTAAGACCTGTTCTCCAGACCCTTCACCAGCTTTGTTGCCCGTCTCTGGACACCCTCCAGCACCTCCATGTCCTTCTTGTCCTGAGGGGCCCAAAACTGAACACAGGATTCAAGGTGCAGCCTCACCAGTGCCGAGTACAGAGGGAAAATAGCTTTCCTAGTCCTGCTGGCCAAACTGTTTCTGATTTCAGAAAAACAGTCCTGGTCCTTGATGTTTTGCAGTGACTGTGGGGCTTCCAGGACATTACAGGCATCTCCCTCATTTGCTATTTGAACAATTTTCACACCTTTCCCATCACGACACAGACACCCACAAATTCACTCAGAGATCTAACAAAAACTCTTCGTAGCGTCCCACTATTCCCACCACCCAACCTTCATCTCTTACCTATCAGCCCATGGGCTGCCGGAGAGAGCTGATTTTCAGGGGGGATGTAGATTCCGAGGAAGTCGACATTAACTGGGTGTTTCTTCCACACACGGTGCAGCAAAACCATGAAGGACATCTCTTCACCCACGGTGACAGTAACGTTGCTTTCTTTTTTCACTGATATGAGGAGCCTAGCAGAGATGAACCAAAGGAAGGGCTCAGTTCCGCTGCCCACACATAAGCTCTCAGGTCCCTTGAGATGCTCCCAGGCATCCAGCACAACTGCACAGGTCTGGCAGATACGACAGAGCATCCATCAGAAACTCACAGCCTTGGGAGTGGTACCCAGAGGTCTGGAAGGACAGTGCCTGATAGGACAGACACTTCATGCCCATATTCAGGCAACCGAGTCTTGTCCTACAAATTGAAGTTCTTGCTACAATAAATGGAGGTTTTTGAAGTGGGCCCATTGCCTAAACAGGTGTCTAGTGCTGTAGGGTCTCCAATATGACTGCTAGCTGTTAATCTGCAGATGAAAGTCCCCTGGAAGTTTTAAGTCATGTCTGCCAGCATGTCAGGAACCCTAAAGGTATCTCAAATAACATTAGGTGCTTATATTTAGGCAACTGAATCCTGGTCTTAGCTAATGCAGTCAACAGTAGGAAGAGGATTTCAGCTCTTTCTGTTTGTATCTGGTCAACTAAATTGTTCCCTTGCTCCTACTGCTTAATTTCATTATCTGCAACGAATGCTCAGACATCTGGCTCAGATTTACCCGCCCATATGTGGGCACCGTGTGATCTGGATTCCATCCATAGCTGGGTCAGTCCAATGCTGTGTTGCAAATGGTTTCCGTGGGGCAGACAACAAATGCACAACTTACTGTTTCCGAATGATGTGCCCCGTGTCAGACCAGGTCAGTGTGATGCCATAAGATCCATCTTTCAGTGTTATCGTTTCTGTGGTGATCTCTACTTTCAGGCCTTTGTTTTTGAAATAAAACCCAATTTTGCCAAAGTATGTGTTCAGTTTCTTATTCTCCATTTTCTTGGCCCCAATGAGCTGCCCGTTGACCACAACTCCTGTGAAAAGCAGAGGAAAAGGTGTTGCCCAAATCTTGGAGCACCACCTAGAGACTTGGGGTTCTGATCTCAGCAGGGAGTACCATGGGATCAGCAGAAACAGGAACCTTTCTGACCCCCTGCTTTTCCCATCTTGCCAGACAAGAGAAGAGAATAATGTAATAAATCACCTCCTGATGCTACTCTTCACCCCTTAGCATATTAGTCTGGTGAAACTGATGGTAGATCTTGCTGGCAGTACGAGCTGATTCATCAGCTGATCGGTCCCTTGCTGTCTGTGAAAGGCTTGGGCTGGATGGGCAGGAGGGGAATAGTACCACAGTTTAATCTGCCTGCACATGCTTTTCACATATATCCCGGAAGTTAAAGAAATGCTGATGGGTAAAGCCCTCTGAGAAGAAATGGCCAATTCCCTTTGGTTCCTTTGCGAGTACAGTTACACAGTTTTTCTGCCTGCCACTGGGGATGCTTCCAGTTTTATTTCTCTGTGTCTATCTTCCACTTTCATCTTTAAAAGGACAAATCAGAGAGGGGAATCCTCACCTATCACAGAGTTTTCCTCACCTATCTTGATTCCCTTCCCAGTGTTTGGCTATCCTCTTAGTGAAACGTTTTTCCTAATAGCCCACTCCTACTCTAAATTTCACCTTTTTACTTTAGCTACGCATGTGTCCAGCTCCATCTTTACCTTCTGATTAGGTTGTAGACAGCAGCGAGATTCACTGTGGGTCTTTTTTTTTCTTAAGATTGACCAAACCCACCCGTCACAGCCTCTGTCTGTGCTCCAGCTCCATTATTATCTCTGTGGCCACCACTGGATTTCATAGTTTGTCAACATCTGTCTTGTAATGGCAAGCCTCAAACTTGCCGTAACACTCCAGATGTGGAGGGAAATGACCACTTCCCTCAATCTGGCCACACTCCCGTTAGCACGTAGTCCTCCTTCCTGTAGGCATTTCCCCTGCTCCCCCTGAAGCCCTTTCAGACCTGAGAGAATAAAATTGTGCCGTAAAGTAAACCATGGTTTGTTGTCTTACCAGTAACAGGATCAGAAACCAGGTTTAGGATCTTTCCAGGCTCTGAGTTGATATTGAAGCAGATGTTGCTTTGGCTCTTGGGCAGGTGTATGATGAAATGTGGGTCATTGTCAACTGGGACATAAAAAAGGAACAAGCATGAGAATCAGTTTGGTACCTGCCCTAAAGGTCATTATTTCCACTGGTTAAGGAAAGGACATGGTATTATTGGCTTGAGAAGCACTGCAAAATGCAGTCAACTACTGGTTTAATTTGTCGGCTGCACACTGGGGTGCCATAGGCTCAACCTGGAGTTCTAGAAGTCAACTTTCACCTCCAGGGGAGACCAAGGACCCATCTGGATGCCAGACAGACAAGGACATATCTTTGAGGCCTAGATTTAGGAAGGGACCTAAGGCATGGAAAACAGGACTTAAGTGACATCTCTGTTCAAAAATAACACCCAATCTCACCCAACCCCAGCTGTCGCCTATTTCTAGAAGTGACACAGTTCCAGGACATCACTCTCTCAAACTAAGAAGCTCTCAGACACGTTGTAAGTCCGTACCACCATTCTGATGTTGGGTGAAGGTGCTTCCTGCCTACCAACTCCCCTGAGGAATGCAATCCAGGACTTGTTCTCACAGTATGTTTAACATCCTGATGGGGTTGAGCTCATCTGAAAGTCATAGATTCATATTAAAGAGGTCACATAATTTATATAAAATTCGTCTCAAATGAGACAAACACCTATTGCTGAAGGCAGGTGTCCCCAGTCTTGTCTTGAAGTGCAAAGCACTGCTCAGCTCTTGCTGGTTTGGTGGTGGTTGGCGTTTCCCTGTCAACATTCAGAGACATTCCCATACTTGGTGTTGCCCATGGGGATAGCCAGGGCAGCTTTCATTCACTGGTGTTCCTCACCTTTTGAAAGTATTTAACTCTTCCTGTGCACCAGACAAATTCTAGACCAGGAAGGTCTTCATAGGAAATGGTGGAGGACTTACCCTCCAAGGGGTGAAAAAGCTTTCGAATGTCTTCAATGTTTTGAGTATTTCAAGTCCCTTGCACATAGTCCTCAATCATTCTTCCTTATTCTCATCAACTACTTGATGTCTCCCAACTTGACAACCAAGGTCTATTCTGATCAATGTTTCTGGGAACAAAATTCTAATGCAATAAGTTGGATGGGGAGCTTTGCATCGCTCACCTTCTTTTCCAAACAGTTTCTTGACTATCCTGACTCTTAGATTAACCTTTGAGCTAAGCTCAGAAGGACTATGATCACTTTCTGTTGGATAGCTACGTAAATACACACGTCCACACCCAGGCGCACTCCCAGGGCTATTGCAGTGATGCTGTTTTTACAGATGATGGTTTGCACAGCTGGTTTGTTTAAGTAGGCACTAAACTGTGGCAAAGGCCCAACCATTAACAGCGTCCATCAGTCCATCAGAGCGTTCAGAGGTTTTTATCTACCTCAGAACATTCATCTGTCGTTTATGATGGCAGCACCTTTACATTAGCTTTGCTACTGCAGGGAAGCTGAGTGTGAGCCCAGTGAGCAGTCGTAGCTGCAGGGAAGCAGAAGCTGGGATCACTGGGGTCCTCTTAGGATCTACACCAATCTCATGTTTGTAACATAGATCATATTTTTACACGTTCATCTATTCATAGAATCATAAGATCACCAAGTTCAACCGCTAACCTAGGAATGCAAAGTTCACCACTAAACTGTGTCCCTAAACACCACAGCTGCACATCTTTTAAATATTTCCAGGGATGGTGACTTAATCACTTCCCCGGGGCAGCCTGTTCCAAGTTAAAATGACTCAGTATTTTATAAAGAAGAGCTTAGTCCTTAGGTGCTATGTGGATTTGCAAAAATCGGGCTGAGGTGGCTGTGATTTGGGTTGCACATGATCGTGCCCTGCTCAGACATTCAGCAGGGGCTGTGTCAAGGACCTTTCACACCTAGTCACAGCAGTCGATTTATTCTCTTGTGGAACAGCCCCTGAATAAAGATACAGGTTTTACGACAAATCATAAAACTCAGTAGTAAAAAAGAGGACAACTGATGGACTCCTCCATCATTATTGGGCTTAACACCTTGTCACAGGAGGTGAAATTCCCACAGTACCCAATAACGTTGGTTCTATCACCTTTATTTGCTTATTAGGCGGTGAATGTTGCTGTCCGGTGTTTCTCTGCAGAGAAATACTGGAAGTTTTACCTCTGTTTATGCTCAGAGAGGACACAGGAGGACTCTTATGCTCAGGCATGAAGCTGACTGGTTCAGCTGTGATATTGGCCCAGGCTGGGATACCTTTGTTGTTATTAGGTGCATTTGGAGTTAATCCAAGAGTGCCTGTTAAATGACAATCATAATTAGTTTTTTGTTAGTGCTGACATATTTAATAGTTCAATTTTTAAAGTAGTGCAGTAGATCAGAGTTTGCTGTCGTTACACCGATGTAAAGCAGGCACACCACCATTTACAACAGACAGATTTGTGTAATGAAGTTAGGATGGATTTACTCCAGTGTCTCCACTCGAGGAAAATGACTTACCAGGGCAATTGAGCTGACCATTGGTGAAAAATACAGCCTGGCTTTTTAACTCTCAATCACGTGAATAGGCCCCACTTCAGCAAGGGCTTAAATGCTTTCCCAAATAAAAAAAAAATAAATTAAAAATATAGCATGTGGTAAAAGCTTTGCTGACTTGGGTCCTGAGTTTGAGGTGCCTGAGAAAAGGTCACATCCTTTCTGCATGCCATAGGACTGCCCACATGAGTGATGATTGCAAAAGAGTGCAAGCATTTAATACAGAATCCCTTAATGTGTGCCCCTCTGCTAGAGGTCTCTGTGCCTTTGCCATGATGGAGGTAGGAGAAAGTAACATGTACCCTCTCTCTCCTTTCTAGCTCATAAAGAAATGTGATCTTAAATGACCCATGAAAGTTTCTTTTAATATGTTGGGTTGAAAACATCAAGAGCAGAAGCGGGGCACGTATTCACACCTGCTGGCCCTGCACTAAAGAGGAGAAAAAGGAGCTGGTGGACAACACCAGGACTGAAGATTTCACAGGTAGATCTTCCAAATCTCTGTTAGCATCTTCTTTCCTGAACCCCTACTTCAGACCACAGGCTGTTTTTACTCAGGCAGTGTTAATTCTGTTAGCACAGTTATATGTGAGGTCAGCGCAGATAATACAGGAACCCAAAACTGGACAAAGACTTTTGCATTTCCAAGTCATATTGATTTCACAGACTACTATGCATGAAGAAGTTCTCCCACGCACAGTTGAGTTTTGCAATAAGTCTGTCATGACAAAAGACGTGAAAACAAAGACAATCCTTTGAAAAATGAGTGGTTTCAGTGCAAGAGACACAATCTCTGTCTATAAAGACAGACAGAACAGTTCCAATGAGAGTTATGTGAGGACAGACAGAAAAATCTATTTTGGATTAACTGTTTCGTGCCTTGTATATGCTAACTTCTTGTCACAACCCATGCGTTGCACAATCCTAAGTGCAAATTTACTTTGATATTATTTTTACAAGCTCTGTCCTCTACCAAGATTCAAGCATCACCTCCCACTGTACCTGAAATCCACAGATGCTCTGATCCCGATTTCCATGCTGTTAAGTTTTGACTGTTCCACTGAACACAGAGACACAAGAATCTATGGTAAAATAACTTAAATCCTCTGCATCATCTCAATCATGGTAATTTTGGTCTGAATTAGTCAGCTGGTGCCATGTATAATGAATTCATTATATGTGAATTCAAGACATGCTATTTCTGGGCTGAATTCTTTGGCTGTTGTGCGTTGCAGTATGTGGTATATAAATAACAACTATTTAGTTTCTCTTTGGATCTCAGCTGAAGACAAAGAAGAATTAATGAACTTAAACCCAACAATTGACAGATATAAGAACTTCATTCCATTGACCCAGAATCAGGACTTTTTTATCCAGAAGCGTGAGGACTGAGCATGCAGAACATGCCTGGAGTTTCAGCAAAACCTCAACCACTTCCAGTGGGAAGTGCTGGATGGACGTCGTCGCCTGTTGGCGTAACGTAGGTCACTTCTTTCCTTTGCAACAAGTTGTAAACTCTCCCACTTTTTAATAGGCTTTAAGTCACCAGATTCGGTTGCTCGAGGAATTGATTTTTACTTTTCAGTGATTCTGTTGCATCACACTGACAGCAACAGTTGTGCTTTTCCAAATCGCGGACTGGTGAGGGCGCAAAATAGCTGCTGTTAATTTTCGTTGGAAGCAGAGAAGAGTTTGGATATGCTAGACACCCGTGACATCTACTGCTCTGAGACTGACTCTACCATATAATGCCAGAAGAAGCCAACCCCACCTCACCTGGCTGGACATAACGTTGCTGTAACAAGGATCTCGGAACATGTATTGAAATAATGGATTTATATCCTGAAGTTTAATTAATGAGGGACTTTGCTGCTATGACAGCTCAGGTTCCACGTGGGCTTGTATCTGATAACAATCTTAGGAAGCTTCCAAGCCTTAAAAGTGGTGAGAAAAAATGGTTCAGTCAATTCTACAGTTTCAGTACGGTGAACTAGACATATCTGTCACTGTAAGAAGATGTTCAGTCTGTGACATTGCAGGCTTATTAGAAACCTGGTCCTCACTGAAGCCTATGGCTCCAAAGAGCACTTTCATAACAGGATGCTTTCAAACAGGCTGGACATTTGGTCAAGTTTCACTGAAAAGACAGGCTGTCCTGTAAGCACAAACACCTGGAACAAACACAGTTGTTCTTCCAACACAAGAAGAACAAAGCCAAAATAAGGGGTAAGAGTAGCGAATGGACTGAGACACTGACCTGGGCAGCAGCCCCTTCTGGGGTCTTTGGGCTGGTCTGCCAGCATTATCTCATCCTTTTCAGCATTCTCTATCAGCATAGCTGTGAAAGGGGTAACAATATGATGGTCAAGAGACATCTGTAGGATGGATTTGGTGATGTTCCTCTTCAAGGCTGCAGTGGGGGCTGTGTTTCTGGGTGGAAAATGAAATAGAAGACATGGTTACCAGCTCTATAGGGCAGCTTCCATGACGATTCCTCCACGGAGTGGTCATAGAACCAAACTGGTGGGTGTTGCAAGGAAGAAAGACTGAATCATAGAATCACAGAATCGTTAAGGTTGGAAAAGACCTCCAAGATCGCCTAGTCCAACTGTCTGCTCAACACTAGTGTGACCACTAAACCATGTCCCAAAGTGCCGTATCTACACTTTTTCTGAACATGAGGCTGAGAGCCTTTGCAAATGCAATCTCCATAAAAAGACTATTTGTGGCTTCTGTGGGCTTTGGCCTTGACTCAAAGAAGCCCAGTCCATCTCCTGGTCTCAGCAGATCTCTTTCTGCTTCAGAGGAGATTCATCCTGAACTTCTCCATAGCTTTTCCTCAGGCTCTGTAACGCAAATTTCCCATTCATTTTATTCACATAGCCCCACAGCTAAGTCTGTTTTACCCTTATTCCTCTAATTAGCTTCTCCCAAACTCTGTTCCCTGATGTCTGTGAGTGCTAAACCAGAAAAAATATGACTGAAGATACCACCTACCTTTGTTTTGATTTGTTTACCTTATCTGAAAATCTGAGGGCAGCCTCATGGTCTCAGAGAGAACCAGATTGCTTTAAAGCTTCTTCTCCCTCCCAATACAGACCCCATTTCTCCTCACCTCTCTGCCATCATCTGGTTGACAGTCAGATAGGCCCACAGCTTCCTAGTGAATTCGGGATCTGCATACTTGTCTTTCTTCATGAAGCCTTCCAGTTCTTCAACATCTCGCAGGGTTTCCATGACGAGCTCTGCATTCGCCTATGCAATCAGTGAGATGTAAAGGTAACGGAGGGTGAGCCAGGAGAATGGGGTGGCCTTGGGTTCCCCTCTTAACAAGGTTGGCCTTAAGGACCTACTCTGGTTCTGCCCATGTTCATTCCCAGCACCATCAGCCTGACTGCCATGGGGAGGGGAGCTGTAGCAAAAGGGTCTTCTGTCAAAGGCACTTTTGTGACAGTGGATTAAATCAATAAAGGAGCTGTCAGCAGTAGCCAAAGAGGGTGCTACCACACACCAAAAGAAGAAGCTCTTAACAGAGCTCTTGCTGCCCTCCAGGCTTTTTCATATCCAGTTCCTACTGAAGACCAGGAACCAAATTCTGCTTTCCCTCGCAGTCCATTGGACTGCATTGTGTTTTGGCAGGAAAGAATAGTGAACACGTTCAAATTTTTTTTCCAGCAACTAACAAATAGCATTTCCTAAGCTTGTGAGAGTGCAGATATTTTGGTTTCCCTTCAGAAAAAAGGATCTGGATGTAGTATTTCCATCCCATCTCACTCCACCTGGAAGAGCAGCCTTGAAAACTTGGGGAAACTCACATCACATATGCCACACGGCAGAGCATGAAAGGACAGTGCTAGAACTTGACAGGCTGTAGACCCACCAGCACCAATTTCCCGACAGAAGGAGGTTCATCTGTGAAAGGAGCTTCCTTAGGGGATCTCCCCTACACCTTCACAAAGGATGAAGGAGCAAGCCATAGTCTTAGTTTAGTTTGCAAGTGAATTTTATACGATACATTTATTAGAAGGGAGTTTCTCTGGCAGGCTACAGGGTGCAGGTAGTAAAGAGCCATGGCTGTACTTGAAGCCATTGTGAAACACTGTTGGGCAAAACCCCCATGAGCTTCCCACCCAGAACCCAAGCATACAAAACACTCTGCTGGCAGCAAGGAGAATCTCCAGCAAGGAGACTGTACACATGAGTGAATGAACCAGCCCAAACCCCAGGAGCAGGTATCCCAGGGACACCTTCACTCACTGCTGTCGCTGTGACGATGCTTTCCAAGTGCTGCAGGTTTTCTGTGTCGACTTTCCCAGCCACCACTATCTCTGAGCCACCAAAGTAGTTGTGGAAGCTGCTCTGGGTGACATCTGACACCGACTCCTGGGGGTAGTTGAACTGAATCTTTTTCAAGAGTGGGGTGGAGACCTGGTTGTAGAAATTCTGAGACGGAAGGAGACAGAGAAGTGATTCAGCTGTACATGAAACAACCCTTCCACACACGCCACTCTTACTGGAGGGACAGGAGGTGACAAAATCTGGAGCCCTAACAGGCAAGTGGGACTTTCCTTGTCCCAGAGAACGCAAACTTCTTTATATGTAGACCTTAGTACACCTGTAACAGGGTACAGGAAGAACCGATCAATCATAGAATCATAGAATCACAGAATC